TGCTCCCAATTTACCGGCATTTCGATCTGCGGTGTTTTGGAAGACTTTTTGTAAGACTAGTTCACCTTCGTGAAATCTGCGGCCGCGTACGTTTGCGTTGTATTACTTTGCGGCCGCTTGCTGATAGTTTTGAATTCGAACGAGCGCCTGATCCCGTCGTTCGTTAATCAGATCGAGTTCGTCGAGTAGCATTAAGTTGTTTGACTCTTCTCTTTCCGGGAGCAGCCTTCTGCGTACTCCTGGAAATTTGACTTCCGCGGGAATCATACATTCCGTTCCGTATACGAAGGCAAAAGGAGTTTCGCTCGTCGCTCGCCTCGGGGTTGTGCGGTGCGACCATAAAACTCCTTCGAGCTCTTCAGCCCACTTTCCCTTTTTTGGCGTCGAGGCGTTTCTTGAGACCGTCGAGGATAGTTTTATTAATGGTCTCGGCTTGTCCGTTGCCTTGAAGATATCTGCGAGTCGATTTGGTCAATCGTATCTTCCATTTTTCGCAAAAAGCTTTGAATCTAGTCGAGATAAATTGAGATCCATTATCCGTTACGATTTCGTATGGCACTCCATGTCTACAGACTATGTTTCTCCATACAAAAATTTCTACTTGGGCGTCTTTGATGCTTGCGTAAGAGTCGGCTTCGACCCATTTAGAGAAGAAGTCGGTCAGAACCAGAAGGAAATGTTTTTGTTTTGACGTATGCATTGGCCCGACTATATCCATCGACCACCGCATGAACGGATACGGCGCCGAGATAGACGAAAGAACTTCGGCAAGTTGGTGAATAGTCGGAGCGTGCCGCTGGCACTTCTCGCATTTTCGCGAAAAATCTTCGCAATATTTTATCATCGTTGGCCAGAAATATCCGTGGCGCTTGATTTTTATTGTGAGAGATCTTCCGCCGGAATGGTTTCCGCGAGATCCGGAGTGCACTTCCTGCATTACCCGCTGTGCTTTCTCCCCTTGCACGCAAGTCATCAGCGGTTCGGAGAATCTCCATTTGTAAAGCTCTCCGTCAACTACAACATACCGTGCGGCCTAGGTTTTTATCTTTTGGGCCGCCCATTTTTCCGGTGGAAGTTCTCCATTAGTTATGTATGCGAGAATTGTTCCCATCCACGGACGATCGAATTCGTAATCGGACTGATCTTTGGCTGGATGGTTTTCGTCCATATCGCCTTCCGGTTCATTGATCAGGTTTATGACTCTGGGTGGTCCGATGCTAGGGTGTTCGATGAATTCAACGGGAATTACCCTGCTCATACCAGGATCAGAGCTGGATGCCTAGGCGGCCAAGGCGTCTGCCTGGGCTTTTTCCGCTCGAGGGATCCTAGTCAGGGCGAATTGATCGAACTTCTGGGTCAGATCTTTTACCAAGATCAGATATTCTTCCATTCTCTCATCCCTTGTTTCGTATTCTCCGCTGAACTGACTAGCCACCAGCTGGGAGTCGCAGTACGCGTGAAGATTATGAATCTTCAGTCCGTGAGCTAATCGCAGTCCGTGAGCTAATCGCAGTCCTGCGATTAAGGCCTCATACTCGGCTTCGTTGTTCGAAGCGAGGAAAATTAATCGGAATGATTGTTACAATACTTCTCCCATTGGGGATGCAATTCGGATACCGATCTCAGAGCCTTGTTTGGATGAGGATCCGTCAACGTATAAGATCCAAGTTGAGTTCGGCTCTTGGTTGGACGTGCTTCCCGTTGGGAGTTCCACTATAAAGTCCGCGAGTACTTGTGATTTCGCGCAAGTCTTTGCGCGATATTCAAAATCGTACTCGCTCAGCTCGATCGCCCATTTTGTTAATCTTCCCAATTGGCTGGGACTATGCAAAATGGTGCGGAGAGGGAACGAGGTGGGCACAACGATGGTGTGAGATTAAAAATATGGTCTTAATTTCCTTGCTGAAATGACTATGGCCAAAGCCAATTTCTCCATCATCGGATACCGCGTCTCCGCGTCCAGTAGCGTCTTACTTACGTAGAAGATTGGCTTTTGTTTGCCGCGTTCTTCCCGAATAAGGACGCCACTCACAGCGGTCGTCGATACTGCGATATAGTGGAATAATGGTTCTCCTTCTACAGGTTTCGCGAGTACTGGCGGGGTAGCTAGGTAATGATTTAGCTGTTGGAAAGCTTTCTCGCATTCTTCGGACCATTCAACTTTTTGTTTCCTTTTAACGTTTCGTAGAAAGGTAGACATTTGTCCGTTGATCGCGAGATAAAACAGTTAAGTGCTGCGACCCTGCCGGTCAGTCTTTGTACCTCGCGTTTTGTTCTGAGAGAAACCATTTCTATCAATGCCGTGATTTGTTTCGGATTGGCCTCGATCCCGCGGTAAGTGACAAGATACCCTAGAAATTCTCCAGATGCGACGGAGAATCGACACTTCGCAGGGTTCAACTTCATGTTACGAAGGTTGAGCCTTTCGAAACATTCTTGGAGGTGCACGACATGATCTCGCTCTTCGAGTGATATTACAAGCATATCGTCGATGTACACTTCCATTGTTTTTCCGAGCTGTTCGGCGAACATGCGATTGACGAGTCGTTGGTAAGTCGCACCAGCGTTCTTAAGGCCGAAAGGCATCACTTTATAGCAGTAAGTTCCGCGATCAGCTATGAATGCGGTTTTTTTCCCGATCGTCAGGGTTCATGATCTGATTGTACCCCGAGAAGGCGTCCATGAAAGATAAGAGTTTGTCTCCCGCGGTTGCCTCGACCAAACGATCGATGTGTGGCAGCGGATAGCTATCTTTTGGACACGCTTTATTGAGATCGGTGAAATCGACGCAAACTCGCCATTTCCATTCTTTTTCTTTACGACAACGGGGTTGGCGAGCCAGTCAGGATACCGAACTTCCGTAATTGATTCTACTTTGAGGAGACTGTCGACTTCGCTGTTGACCGCTTCGGCGCGTTCTGGCCCAGCTTTCGTCTTTTTTTTTACGGGTTTGGATGTTGGGTCAACGTTAAGTTCGTGACATGTGATGTTGATGTCGATTCCTGGCATATCTTCCACGGTCCAAGAGAACGTGTTCGAGTTTCGCTTAAGACAAGTCAGAAGTTCAACTTTTAAGATCTCGCTCAGGTTTGCACCTATTTCGACGCAGCGTTCTGAAAAATTCTCGTCGATGCACACTGAGATGACAAGTTCGCAGGTTGGCTCGCGTTTACCTTCCAAAGCCTCGGCTGCTCGCAACTGCCAGAAGAGTTCCGTTTTATCTTGCTCTGGGGCGTTGTCGAGGGCATTAGACTTATTTTTCTTTTTGGAAGAAACATCGACCGGCAGATTTTTTCGTTTTAAATCTGCGGCGTAGCAAACTTGTGAGGTCCTCCGATTTCCCCATATAGTCTCGATCCCGCACGGAGTCGGGAACTTGAGACACATATGGTACGTTGACGGAATCGCTTGCATTGAATTTAACCACGGTGTCCCTACAATTACGTTGTAAGACATGGGTCGATCGACGACTTGGAATTCGACGTTTTTCACTATGCGCCCGGCGGGAACCGTCAGGTTGATCGTTCTGAGGGTCATTGTGATCTCCCCCGACAATCTTACTAGCGGGCTTACGTTTTCCGCGATTTCAGACATATCGATTTCCATTCTCTCGAGAGTATTTTTGAAGATGATATCAGCCGAGCTTCCGATATCGACTAATATCCTCGCGACATCCATATTCTGGATCGTCAGCTCAATAACGAGAAGATCGTTGAGAGGTTTGATCGAATCGATCGTTGCTCTTTTCTCGAACGAGATGACGTCGCCGTTAACATTAGGCATGTCTTTTCTCGTTCGTTTTAGCGATTATTGTGTAAGAGAATCTGACCCCCCCCCCCTTCCTTCTAGCGCCAAATTGTGGGAACCGAAATCCACATTGTCAATTTTCCGTCAAATATGGAAACTTAAGGAAACCCCTAATTTTCCCGAGGTCCTGGATCTCTGCGGAAATCACTAAAACAAACGAAATCAATAGAGTATGGATGAACAACGAAGAACAGAGAATTAAGAATTTGCGTGAAAGCTTTTTATTGAATAATAGATCGACAACTGTTACAAGAAAGAATTGGAGAACTTAGACGTCGAAACGATCTAAGCATCTCGCTTGCAAGTCTAAACGCTAAGTCCTAAATTTCTAAGCTAACAGCTGCCTCTGTAGGTCTGATTTTCGTCCCCTTTCTCTTGCCCTATGCCTCTGGCTTATATACTCCTCTCCCAGGCGGTTCAGTCTTTTTATTTTGCCCGGATTCGAGTTTACCGGGAATCTTCCATTTATCTCGATCCTTCCTTTTTTCCCGCGGAAATCTATTATTTATCTTCAGACTTGCCATTTATCTTCAAACTTGACATTTATTTTTCTTCTGCGAGTAAACCATCAAAACGTTATCGTATCTTCGGGTTGGATCTCGTTAAGATTACGAGACGGACTTTTTATCGTGTTTTAAGAGCTTTCGGGTCATTTTACGATAAATCCGTTTTATGACTTTATACGAGATCGTTTCCTGATCCGATGCCGTTTTTAGTAAATTCTCCGAGTTAATCGTAAAGTTTAGCTACGCTCGTTTCTAAGTTAATCATTTCCGTTTTTTACGATTTCCTCGACGTTTTTATTAAAAACGCGTTTTTATGATTTTAACGAAAAGTTTTGAATAAATCGTATAGTTTAGGCAATTTTCGGTGTTTCGTTTAACCGTTGCCGTTTTATACGATTTCCTCGAGTTCTTTCCGAGAAAACAAAGTTTTACGGTTTTTATCGTAAAACTCGAATGATAGGTCGGATCGAGACGAAACGGGAGGCATTTCGACCGTGGTCCGGAACACGACCGTGTCGAAGGTCTCTCTCTCTCTCTCACTCTTCCTCTCTCTCTCTCTCTCTCTCTCTGTCACTCTCTCATCAGCTTATTTTGATTCCTCAAATGATTTTGCATTTTCCCTCAAATTGTTAATGATTAAAATACATTAATGACTAAGAAAAAAAATCTCTAGATTTGAATCAGTACATGATGGCCCTAAAGGTCGAAGCTAAAGGTGGAAAGGGAGGAAAAGAATGGGATGATGGATTCAATTATGAGGGTGTAACAAAGATTCATGTACGAGGTGGTGTCTCTGAACGTCGTGGTTTGACACAGACGGTATGCAAACGTGTCTTCAAAAATTAACTAGACGAAACTCTATAACTTTAATCCTAAATATTTCGAAAATCGCTAACGGTAATTAGACTATAAGAGACTAATGTCGAGGGCACTAAGTTTTCACTAAGAGTCAGTGGCAAGAAAATCATTGGGTTTTGTGGATTTGCTGAGAAGAATCTCAACTCTCTTGGAGCATATTTCATCAGGATGCCACCAACCAAATCAGCAATGCAATGTGGTCAAACTACAGGTATGGGTATGATGATGGGGATGACTACGATGGTGTAAGAAAAGTTGTTGTTACCACTACAAGAAAACACTGATTTTGCAACTACCATATTATTCACTAAATAGTTGTAAAACTGGATCTTCTAACTCATTTGCAACTTCATTGTATGGTTAGAAAAGCTATGTCGCTAATAGGCGTAGTTGCTAATTCTTTGCTCATTTGCAACTAACTTGTAACGAAGAAAGTAGTGGTACATTAGCCACTAACTGACAACTCAAACAAAAGTTACACATATTTATATTGTAGTGACTAATAATTAAGCAACTGTTTTAGTTTGTCATTAGTTTGCTACTACTTTAGCTTTAGAAGTCGTAGTGTAGTCGCAAATTTAGTAACATACAGGCAACTATATACAATTCTGTGTAGTCGCAATTTAATCACCAAAATAGAAACTGATTTGTGACTACAAAAATTGGTGGGAGTCGCAATATAGTAACAAAAGAGTGACGCATTAGCAACTATATTACTTCTTTGTGTCACAGTGTAGTTAGTATCTTAACAACTAATATATAACAACATTATTTGTATGTTTTGGTTGCAAGATTAATAACGTGAATTATAAAATTAATAGAATCTATTTCTTGAATACAATATACAAAAGCTTAAAAGAAAATATACAAAACACAATACAGAATGTTTACACTTTGTTGTTATACAATAACAACTTAAGTTATGAACTAGGTACTTAGAATACAAAAAAAAAACATAAGTTATGACCTAGTTCATACAAAAAAAAACAACTTAAGTTATCAGCTAGTTAATACAAAAAGAAACTTAAGTTAGGAACATACGCTGTTTAGGATACAGACGTTGCTGCAGCCATAAACTCTGAGAATGTTGGGTCTTTACCTTTCTTAAAACTGACCAGCATCTTCAAAGTATTGATCTGACTTTGTTGCTCTGCCATTTGATCTGCTCTTTCAGCATCACGTCGAGCATTGGCTGGTGCGGTTTCAACATCACGTCGAGCATTGGCCCTTGCTTGCTCTTCAATTAGACGTTGAGCAGCTTCAAGTTGTTCTTGCAAGTGTACAAATGCAGAGGAAGAAGAACTTCCAGGACCTCCTTTTCTCTTTTTGTTCCCATAAGTGGAAGAAGGCTACCAAATCCATACTCATGTCCTCTTGTATCCAAAGTAGTACTCTGAAAATAATGAAATCTTTCACTTTTTAAGAGGTAAAAAACTATATCAAAACATTAAAATGGTTTCCGTGGTTTACCTCAAGAAAGATATCATTCATTTCATTTGGTGAAAGATCAGGAATATAGAAACTGTCACCACCATTCGCACAAAAATCTTGTTTAACCTAGGACATCTTCTCATCTATTTTCTTTTCATAAGCTTGGGCGATCTGCTGAGCCTTTAGATCCCTAAATGTCCGGTCAGCCCTCGTATATATCTTTATAAACACTTCTCCAATACACACAGGTCTACCCAATTCTTCTTCCTAAAATATTAAAATGAAATTCAATAAGATAAAGATGAAAACCTTAAAATTTACTAAGTTATTATTCAAGTATATTACCATATTTTGCTAAATTCGTAAGAAAGACCATGGTCCTGCAAAGTGCTTGAATCAAACCAACATGTCTTTCTTCCATTTCTCAGCTGAAAGGCTTTTGTATCATCCATGCAGATTGGACATGATAATCTACCATGTGTCGTCCATCCAGACAACATATCATAAGCTGGAAAATCGCTAATTGTCCACATATGCACTGCTTTAAAATTAAAGTTTTGATTTGATGATGCATCAAATTCCTCGACTCCATTAATCCATAATTCCTTCAACTCATCAATAAGGGGTCGAAGGAAAACGTCAAGACTCGATCGAGGATGCTTTGGACCAGAATTCAAAATCGTAAGAAACATGTACTCTTCATTCATACACATACATATCAGGAGGTAAGTTATATGGCGTCAAAGTTACAAGGCATAATGAATGACTACGGGACATACCAAATGGATTAAATCCATCTGTACATAAACCCAAGTAAACGTTGCGGGGTTCATCAGCAAACTGACGATGTAGTTGTTGAAAAAATTTCCACTCCACTCAGTCAGATGGATGACACATCTCTCCCTCGTCTGCTTCGTGCTCAGCATGCCATCTCATTGCAGCCGCAGTCTTCTCGCTTTGATACATTTTCTTCTGTCTATCAGCAACATGTAAATACCACATACAAATGAATGGTATTTTGGTTTGACCCTCGCTAGGCTTATATCGTGGTGCATCAAAAAATTGACAGCTATCCCACTTTTCATATTCTTTCCAAAAGATCATACAATTTTTGATATACACATTAATTGTATAAAATGGGAGCCCTAAATTTCGCATAAACTTCTTTGTCTCATAATATGAACCAGTTGCTTGATTGCCCGCCGGTAGATATTCTGTAAAAAGTTCTGCCCACGAGTCCATGCACTTTTCACCCAAATTATTATCCGCCTTGATATTGATGAATCGAGCAGCTAAAGATAATTGAGAGTGACCTTCGTGACAACCATCATACAATGGTTGTTTTGCAGCTTCTATCATATCATAAAATTTTTGTGACTCATAATTAGACTCTTCCATATTTTGATAACCATCGACATGATAATAGTTATCTAAAGCTGATGTATCACAAAATGCATCATTCACCATGTCGACATATCTATCATCTATATTACTAACTTCGGTTTGGCTGCCACTGGGGTGATTCGAATTACCATGACTTGTTCCTAAGTCAAGATTCAATTGCTCCCCATGCATATACCAAACGTAATACTCTGGCATAAATCATTTACTATATAGATGATTCCAAATTTTACGCCCCGTAAGAAATTTATCAATTTTACATACACTACAAGGGCAATAAAACTTACCACCACTACTTTGTGCTAATGACTGACTATTTTCAAAATTCATGAACTCTTCTACCCATGCTGCAAACTCGGCTGAGATATTATTCTTCCTTTCATCGATCCTTTTGTACATCCACTCACAAGATTTACAGTAATTATAATTATCTCCCATTTTTTGTAAAAAAATTTCTGTTTACACGGTAATTTTTTTTTCACCGTAATTTTTTTGTTGGTATAAAAGATTTTTTTAAAAAAAACTTTCTCCCAAATGAGATGAGAAGAGACGAAGATTTTTTTTTAATAATTTCCTCACAATGAGATGAGAAGACACGATTGATTTAAATATACAATGTTTGAGACTATTCTGCAACTTGTAGCAAATTAGTTACACCTACTTGCCAACATCGTTCAAAAAACATGTGTCCATCAACTTAGTTACACAATCTTCACAAAAACGGGTAACTATTTTGCGACCGCAGGATTTAAATAATTTGCAACTAATTTGTATCTAGATTTTTCTAACTACATATGTGGTTGCACTTTAGTTAACTATTGTAACTATTTTGCGACCGCATGATTTAATTGCCAATTTGTTGCAAATGTGTCACAATAAAGAAACTGGATTATAACCACAATATTTGGTCACATAATTGTAACTAATGTACAATTTTTTTATTGTAGTTGATAAGTAGTTGCAAAATTGTTAAAAAAGAGTAACATATATTGGTAACTATAGATCGTAGTTACAAAATAGTTACTAAATTAATGTCTTTTTGTAGTGTACAATGTATGGTGCTGCAATTAGGCATATCAAGTTCCACTTCCACTATGACAAAGCTGGCAATGAGGAGATTCATGAGCGAGGGGTGACGACCGGAACACAACATGAGGTTAAACATTTGTTTCAACTTGACATGCGGATGCTAGTTAATACTTAGTTAGTACTATGAACAAGCTATTATCTGTTATTGCAGTTTATGATCAATCATCCATATGAATATATCACATCTGTGGAAGGAAGCTACACTGTTACACAACCTTACAACTGTATCGTCCTTACATCATTGACTTTCAAAACATCAAAAGGGAGAACCTCTTCAACGATTGGACCAGTGACTGGTACCAAGTTCGTGCTTGAGAGCAAAGGTAATGCTATTGTTGGATTCCATGGACAAGTGGGTTCATGTGTTGATAGCATTGGCGCATATTACGCTCAGGTTTTTCCTTCTCAAGAAACATGTACTCAGGCTTTAATTGCTAATGCAAATGATTTGGCCTATTGCAAATAATGAACCATTAAAGAATGAAAATGATCTGGCCTATTGCAAATAATGAACCATTAACAAATGATTAAAAACAATCTTTAAATGATAGCGTTGAAGGTGGAACCTAAAGGCGGAAAGGGAGGGGTTCAATGGGATGATGGATCAGATTACGAGGGTGTAACAAATATACATGTACGATGTGGTCTTGAAGGAATTCAGTTCATCAAGTTTGAGTATGTGAAAGCTGGACAAACTATTGTTGGACCAGTCCATGGTGCCTCTGGTCGTGGGATGACACAAACGGTATGTAATTAGGCCTTTTAAATCTGCATCTAGAAGAAAAATTTCCAATATCTAGAAAATCTATGTTTGGAATGCATAGAGTTTTGTTCAAAAAAAGGAATGCATAGAGATTTGATGAAAAAATGGCATATCAAATTTCAAACTAAAATATAAAAAAATCTAATTCAATATTTTTTACTATTAAATAATATCTTAAATGTAAAGTTTTATTTTATGTCAATATAAAAATTCAATTTATTTATCAACGTGTTTTTTTTTTGGTTTCTTTGGTATGCAGTTTGGCATTAACCATTTGGAGAATGAATATTTGATATCTGTTGAGGGTTACTATGACGAATCAACAGGTGTGATTCAGTCGCTTAGATTCATCACTAACAAGAAGACTTCTGATCTCATGGGGTTCAACGAGGGTACTAAGTTTTCACTAGCAGCCAATGGCAAGAAAATCATTGGGTTTCTTGGTTTTGCTGAGAAGAATCTTAACTCTCTTGGAGCATATTTCATCAGGATTCCGTCAACCAAATCAGTAATGGAAGGTGGTCAAACTACGGGTAGAAGCTATGACGATGGCGGTGACTTCGATGGTGTAAGAAAAGTATATGTTACATTTGATGGCACTGCAATTTGGCATATCAAGTTTGACTATGACAAAGCTGGTCAAGTGGAGACGCGTCAGCGAGGAGTTAAGGAAGGAACATAATATGAGGTTGTTCTAATTCCTTGTAGACAATATTCAATGTGTTCAAGTTGTTGTTAATAACTAAAACACCTTCTTATGATTACTTGTAGTTTACGGTTGATCATCCACGTGAATATATCACGTCTGTGTAGGGAAGCTACGTTGTTACTCAACCTTATGGATGTATTGTCCTTAGGTCTTTAGCTTTCAAAACTTCAAAGGGGAGAACCGCTCCCACCGTTGGAACGGTGACTGGTACCAAGTTCGTGCATGAGAGCAAAGGAAATGTTATTGTTGGGTTTCATGGACGAGTAGGTTCTTGTATTGATAGTATTGGGGTGTACTACTCTCCGTTGTCTCCTCTTGCTCCTCCTTCAGAGAAAATCCAAGGACATGGTGGTGATGGAGGAGATTCTTGGAACGATGGTGTTTTCCAAAATGTGAAGAAGATATACGTAGGACAAGGAGATGTTGGTATTGCCTTTCTCATGTTTGAATACGAGAATGAAACTAGTGAGGGGCTTTTGGGAAAAGAACACGGAAAGAAAATGTTGCTTGGTTACGAGGAGGTAATTCACTTTCTCTCATATATGCATTTGCATTCTTTTTTATTTAACACTTGAGAAATAGCCTAACAATGTTCTTTTTTTACTGTACAGTTTGAGTTCGATTATCCGAGTGAGTACATTACATCTATAGAAGGTTGCTTTGATAAGGTAGTTGGAGGTTAAAGTGGAGTTATAACAATGCTTACGTTGAAGACCAACAAACGCACCTCTCCACCACTCGGACTCAAATCTGCTTCCAGCTTTGTCATCCAGAAGGAAGGTCACAAGATCGTCGGGTTTCACGGAAAATCAAGTGCCATGATTAGTCAGATTGGGGTCCATGTCATTCCCATCACCGAGTGACCAACCATTTGAAGGCCTTACCAGTGAACCATTCTCGTACCTGTCTTAGCTTTTTTATTTATGCTGCAGTATGTATTACTCTGCCAGATATGTTGTTGTCTGGCTTGTTTCCCAATTATACAATTGCTTGTAGTAAGATAACGTTTCTGTCTCTTATGTCTACATTTCTTTAAAGCTGACTATAATTCATAAAATGAAATCTCAATAAATTAATAATGTTGAAATTACATCAAAATTATATTTTTTATTAATTTCTAAAGATTATTAATTTATCGATATACTAATTAAACCAAAAACATAATTTAAGACTATAAAATTATATTATTTTATAAAGATTTTTAGTGTATATTAATTTATAAAATATTAATTTAAAGAGATTATACTGTATTTAAGAGACTCATCCTTAGATTTCTACTCTTCATTGATGAAACCAGTCATGTTGTTGGCGCTCAATTTAATAGATAGTTTTAGCTGCAAATCAAATGTTAAAATACAAAATCAGTAAACAAACTATAAGATAATATCTCTATGAAAATGGTTATTACCATTTTCACAAGCTTTGTAAAGCACAATTGATGCAGCGTCACCTGTGATCTCCACCGATCACGTCTCCTCTTCAACTTAGGATTTCCTTTTATTATTATGTTGGCTTTTTTTACTTTTAACGTTATTACGGTTAGATAAGATTATCACTTAATCCATATAGGAACGTGAAATCTTAAGTGTTATATAAAGGGGCTGTCAACCTCTTTAGGGATTACTATTCAATTAATAAAGTTTTCAGCTTTCTCAAGAGTTCTATTGAACACTGCAAAGAGTATTTGCAACCTTAAGAGTTCTAACAAACACTGCGAAGAATATTCGCGCCCTATCCATCGTTTCTTCACCCTCATGTTAGGTTTATAGCTTCCGCTCTCCATCAGTTGGTATCAGAATCAGTACGTTTCGGGGTATTCTTCTCTCGTTCTCATGGCAAAGAAAACGGCAGAAGGAGCATCTTTGGATCTTACCGAATTACGAGCATTACTTACGGAGATGCAAACATCGTTTGCCTCTACCATCGAGAACTCGATGCAGACCTCAATCCTTCGATTGGGCGAATCATTGACAACTCACATGGACACCATGAATGCAATACTTACTCGCCTAGATACAAGAAACATCCAAGGCACCGACATCCACCAGCCTGTACCACCTCAACAAATCCAACCTCTCGCACCAGCCCAACATCAACAACACCACCGTCCTCCACTACGTCAACAACAGCGCAGAATCGATCATAGAGCCGACGATAGAGCACAACCAACTCATTCAGATGATGAGGAAGAGCTTCATCGTCAAGTCTATTTTCAAGACTTGCAACAACATGATAACAGACACAACAAGTGGGAGAACAGATTTAAAATTGATATTCCTGAGTTCCATGGGGGACTCAAAGGCGATGACCTAATGGATTGGTTAGTTTCTGTGGAAGAGATTCTAGAATTTAAACAAGTGCCTCCCACCCGTCAAGTCGCTCTTGTGGCCATGAAATTCCGTGGTCATGCCGCAACATGGTGGAAGCAATTAAAAACAACTAGAGTGCGTACGGGAAAAGCGCCAATTCAATCTTGGGATAAGCTCACCAAACACATGCGCCATACATTCCTACCACACAACTACGACCGCACAGTGTATAATAAGCTGCAAAACCTCCGCCAAGGCAATCGTAGCGTCGATGAGTATGCAGAAGAGTTCTCGTTACTCCTCACCAGAACCGATATTCATGACAGCCAAATCCAGTTGGTATCCCGTTTTATCGGAGGTCTACGGCCACATCTCCAAAACGCCTTAAACCAATTCGACCCCTTAACTATAAATGAGGCGCATCGGCGTGCCGCCACATTTGAACAACAGGCGCGGTCCGCAAATTGGAATTCTTCATCCGCACGATCAAAAACACAAGACTTAACAAACACCTCAGCTTCTCAATCAAACAAAGAAACAGGGGAACCCAGCACTTCAGCAACTCGCACAACAGCTCCCAATGAAACCCAATTACGACGCTCTACGCGAACTAATGCGCTTCGTTGTTATACCTGTGGAGAATAGGGTCATCGACAGACGGCATGTCCCAATGCGACACGACGAGGCTTGATTACTGATGATCAGCAAGTTTATGATTCTCAGGAGGAAGAAGACAATTCCGACATGGATGATATTCATCCTACCGAAGGCGATTCAGGTCAATTACTCGTTCTGCATCGGTCTTGTCTTACGCCTAAACGACATGATGAACAGTGGTTACGCACAAATATATTTCGATCAACTTGCACTATCAATGATCGGGTCTGCACCTTCGTCATCGACTCTGGGAGTTGCAGAAACGTGATTTCAGAGGAAGCAGTCACAAAGCTCGGACTGATACGCGAGAAGCATCCAGCTCCCTACAAACTCGGGTGGCTTAATGATACGGCAACAGTTCGTATCACGGAACGAACGCCGGTGTCTTTCTCGATTGGTCCCCATTACCAAGATCGCCTCTACTGCGACATTGCTCCTATGGATATTAGTCATCTATTACTCGGGAGACCATGGGAATTTGATCGTAAAGTCATTCATTATGGAGTTGACAACACGTATCAGTTTACATGGAATACTCACAAAATCCTCTTACTTCCGTCCAAAGAACCTTTACGGGGCACGCCCATAGCTACAACAACTCCACTCCCGACTCAAGTCTCAACGTCAACCCACCCGGTATTACTCTGTTCTTACGCCAAATTCATCTCCGAACTTCACACGGAAGGTCGTGCTTTTGCGCTTGTCTCATCTCCGACTCCTCGCCCCCTTGTTGGTTCCTTCACAAACATTATCTCCCATCCTCCAAGAATTTAGCGACGTCTTCCCCAATGACCTTCCGCAAGGATTACCGCCTCTTCGAGACATTCAGCATCAAATAGATCTTGTCCCGGGTGCCACTCTTCCTAACCGGCCGCATTACAGAATGAGTCCGCAGGAACATGAGGAGCTTCGTCGTCAGGTGGAAGATTTATTACGAAAGGGTCATATTCGAGAAAGTCTCAGTGCTTGCGCGGTTCCAGCCCTTCTCATTCCAAAGAAAGATGGTTCGTGGCATATGTGCGTTGACAGCCGCGCCATTAACAAAATCACTATACGGTATCGATTTCCGATTCCCCGATTGGATGACCTACTCGATCAGATTGGGATTTCTAAGATATTTACTAAAATCGATCTCAAGAGCGGTTACCATCAGATTCGTATCCGCCCGGGTGATGAATGGAAGACGGCATTTAAAACAAGAGAAGGTCTTTTCGAGTGGTTAGTAATGCCCTTCGGTCTTTCAAATGCGCCAAGTACATTTATGAGGATCATGAATCAAGCCTTGCGCCCGTTTATTGGCAAATTCGTCGTCGTATATTTCGATGACATCCTCATCTTTAGCTCTTCTTTGGCCGAGCATGCACAGCACTTGCGTCAAGTTCTTGAGGTGCTACGGAAATAAGAATTGTACGCAGCCAAGCATAAGTGTGAATTTGGGGTCTCGCAGGTTCTGTTCTTGGGATATGTGGTTTCTGATCAAGGCCTTGCGGTTGACGCATCCAAAATCGAAGCTGTTAAGTCTTGGCCTACACCTCGCACAGTATCCGACGTTCGTAGTTTCCATGGTCTCGCGTCCTTTTATAGGCGTTTTGTTCACCATTTTAGCTCCATCATGGCTCCGATCACTAATTGTATGCGTGATGGCAAATTTACATGGACCCAAGAAGCATCTGAAGCCTTCATCGCTATCAAAGAAAAACTCACAACGGCACCAATTCTTGTCTTGCCCGATTTTTCTCAACCTTTTGAACTTCATTGTGGTGCTTCGAAATTGGGTATAGGGGCTGTTCTAAGTCAGAACGGACGTCCAGTTGCTTTCTACAGCGAGAAATTGGCGGGAGCTCGAAGCCGTTATAGTACGTATGACGTTGAGTTCTACGCAATTGTTCAAGCAATTAAACATTGGCGGCACTACTTGGTTCACCGTGACTTTGTTCTTTTTACGGATCATGATGCACTACGACATCTTGATAGTCAAGCTAAGGTTTCTTCAAGGCATGATGGATGGATCTCCTACCTGCAGCAGTTTACCTTTTCCATTCGACACCAATCCGGGAAGACCAATCGAGTGGCCGACGCGCTGAGTAGGCGTCATAGCCTTCTCACCACAATGCATACGACTGTTATGGGTTTTGAATCGCTTGCAGAGCTGTATGTCATGGACCCTTTCTTTGCTCGCATCTTTTCGGAGGCATCCCAAGGAATTGGTAACACTTACTCTATTCAAGATGGCTATCTTTTTCATGGGTTACGTTTATGCATTCCGGAAAGTAGCTTGCGCCTATAAATTATTTCTGAGCTTCATAACGAAGGCCATGTGGGACGCGATCGGACTTTGCAGTTGGTCTCCACTTCCTATTTTTGGCCTACCTTGAGGCGCGATGTTGAAAGGTTTGTTGCTCGTTGCAGAGTTTGTCAGCAAGCCAAAGGCAAATCGTCCAATGCCGGGTTGTACTTACCATTACCAATTCCTACACAACCATGGACTGATGTTAGTATGGACTTCGTTCTTGGGTTACCACGTACGCAACGGGGTTTTGACTCTATATTTGTTGTGGTCGACCGGTTCTCTAAGATGGCACACTTTATCGCGTGCAAGAAAACAACGGATGCGGTCAACGTTGCTGTTTTGTTCTTTCGCGAGATTTACCGTCTCAACGGGTTGCCTACCTCCATTGTTTCTGATCGTGACACTCGTTTCTTGAGTCATTTTTGGCAGTCCCTATGGAAGCTATTAGGTACGACCCTCGACATGAGTTCCGCGTACCATCCACAATCCGACGGTCAGACGGAAGTTACCAATAGATCCTTGGGTAACATGTTGCGGTGTTTGGTCGGGGCCAACATTAAAACGTGGGATGCAAAGTTGTCACAGGCCGAATTCGCTCACAATCATGCGCTCAATCGTAGTTTGGGATTCTCACCGTTTCACGTCGTTTATGGTGTCATACCGCGGTGCCCTATGGATCTTCGTCTCACGCCCGACATGACTCGACACCATGGTGAGGCTATTGATTTCATTAAAGACATTCAGACCGTGCATCATCAGGCGCAGCAACATTTAGCGACCTCCGCGTCTAAATACAAAGCCTCGGCAGATACTAAGCGCCGGGAAGTGATTTTTGAACCAGGCGATATGGTCTGGGTTTACCTTACTAAAGAGCGCTTACCTCTCCGCGACTACAACAAGCTCAAATCAAAGAAAATTGGTCCATGTGAGGTACTTGAGCGTATCAACCCAAATGCGTATCGTATACAACTACCGGCTCATCTACACACTTCCAACGTTTTCAACGTCAAGCACCTTTCACGTTTTCACGGCGATAACATCCAGCCAGATTCGTGGACGAATCCTTCTCACGCCGGGGGACCTGATGCAGCGTCACCTGTGATCTCCACCGATCACGTCTCCTCTTCAACTTAGGATTTCCTTTTATTATTACGTTGGCTTTTTTTACTTTTAACGTTATTACGGTTAGATAAGATTATCACTTAATCCATATAGGAACGTGAAATCTTAAGTGTTATATAAAGGGGCTGTCCACCTCTTTAGGGATTACAATTCAATTAATAAAGTTTTCAGCTTTCTCAGGAGTTCTATTGAACACTGCAAAGAGTATTTGCAACCTTAAGAGTTCTAACGAACACTGCGAAGAGTATTCGCGTCCTATCCATCGTTTCTTCACCCTCAAGTTAGGTTTATAGCTTCCGCTCTCCATCAACAATCGTCCGTAATCATCAACATGACATCAACAAAACAATTTTAGGTCATGTTGACTGTTATTGTTGCAGGTAAGATTTGATAAATGAAAAAATTACACCAGAAGCCACATTCCACTTCTCTATTAGAGCATCCAATGTATTATTCCATTTTTTTACTCTAAAATTGTGTAACTCCAAAATGAAGTTAGGTTTTACTCTAATGTATTACTCTAACTTTTACTCCAAAAATGAAAATTCTCATATGATGCCTTTTTCATTTAGTTAATAGTTGTTAGTAATACCTTCAACTTATAAAAATTTAACAATTATCCAAATATTTTATGATTAAAATTTTTTCATAAAAAGATCTTTTATTTAAACTAAACATTTATTATTGAAAAATACAATAAATCATAAATTTATATAAGATGCCATATTTTTTTTTACTAATGAGCATTTTAGAATAATTTTTTCCACAAATGATCAACTAATATATTTCGTAATAAACAACGGGATTTTTTATCTTTGATTTCATAAATCAGAAAAGAAAAGTTTATAATGAGACATTTTCATGTTATAAGATTTCAATATATAGAGCTTCTCTTATAACTTTAACTAGAGTTTGACCCGCACACCTGTGTAGATGTTATTTCTTTTTTGGCACAGATATCAAATATTAGTTGTACAATCAAATCTTTTCTGGTTTGTCCTCCTCTCACAGTTTTGTTTTTGAAGTTTGTCCTACTCTTATAGAAAACAAATTTTATTTGTAATTTGAATTTGCGTATAGGATTCAGATGTTTGTGCATATATCAAGTTCAACAAGTACAAATGTTTATCAAATCGAAATGTTGACCCACAAGATTAACAACTCATCATTCGTTTGAATAATACTTCACATATCTTTGTAGTTTCAAAAACAATTTATCTGATTATTAAATTACTTATTTTTATATTATCTTATATTTATTTTATTTTGTTTGGTTTAGTTTTGAGTATTATTATTTTAGGCAATTTTAAGTAAAAATATTAAATAATGTTTTTGAAATATCATATTTCTTTTCATGATATTATATTATTTTAAATATTATTTAATTATGAAATAAAAACATTCAAGATTAAAAAATCATTTCATAAATAAAAATCGTTCAAATCCAAAATGAAATAATGGCTAGGGTTAATCTCCATTTTGTAATTGAATATAAAATAAGGTTAGAAAAGATTTTACTCCAAAATAAAGTTTATAATAAAAAATAAAGTAAGGTTGGAAATGCCTTTACACTCCAAATCACATTAAGGTTGGAATCAAACTTTCTTCCTCTATCTCTTGTTTTCTCTTTCTTCCTCCTTTGTCTAGGTCTTGAATTCAACCTCAGTCCAACTTCACTCTTCCTCGTTTTTTATTCAACCTCAGTTCAACTTCAGTCCAACCTTATGGCAGCGCGTGAAGGAATAAGATGGCACAGTCAAAGAAGAAACAACTTGAAATATTAACATCAACTTGAAATAATGATTCTAATTTATATTTTCTTTTTAATATAAAATTAAAAACTAAAACAAAATACCTATTATAAAATATCATAAAGAAATTGTTAAATAAAAAGAATACTATATAACAAATATAGTATTAAATACTTTGATTCTAACATAAATATTTACAGTATTATCATTAACAAAAATAAGTAACAAGTCAAATAACGCTAGTTAGTTACTTTTATATTAAGACTCGATATTTGGTTTATATTAATAGATTACTTGATACTCAATTTAGTCAGACCAAATATTAAAGGTACTGGCAAAATAGCAAGAACGGACCAAGTAACAAATAATTGTACCCCTTTATTTTTTCATTGTGTAATGTGTATAAATTTAGTAGATTAAATATATTAAACATGTTTCGGTTATAAAGTAAATTTATTGTATTTTAAGAAAAGAATATCTAGCTCTAAAAAAAAAGAAAAAAAAACAGTCATTAAGAAGTATGTGACGATTGTCAACTATTTATATTTATTTAAAATAAAAAGTAATATTTTATTTTATTTGAAGTGCGTAATTGACAAAAACGCTGTTTATTACTTGATGTGCGGTTTTGAAGAATGGTCAATTAGTTAACAAGCAATTTTGCTTATAAGCGTTTTTTTTTTTTGCTTTTTCTAACCAGTACCGTACGCATCGCAATAATATTTCTGATTGGTAAATCAAAAGTGGATTGTGTAATACCACTTTAGAAAAACCTTTAGTCTGTCGCCACTCATGCACAAAGTCTTTGAAAAAAATAGCGACTATAATTTTATAGAAATGTGCTATCACGACTAGTCACAAACGACCAACATGAGACAAGAAAATGAACCACATTTGATTGCAGCAACATGCAAATGAACATGACCAATATTTTATGTAGGCCTTTTGGGGGAGATGGTTTGAAGTATTTGATTAGGGATAATACCCCTGTTCGTTTTCCTGACGCTGACGCATCGTTCGCGTCAAAAAAATACAGCTAAGATCGAAACAAATTCTTAGGTGTTCTAACTAAAAGTAGTCGCAACGGACAATCGTAGGCATGGAAATGGAGTTTATATAGTAGTATACAAGTAGAAGAACCGAGCGTATTTTTAGTCAATTTTTTTATAAATATTTCCAGCTTTTGATTGATCAGTAAATTTGAAATTTCATAAAAATATATTATAGTCAAAATTGAAGATGCATAATTATCAAGTCACTTCAGTATGATATAAATAAAACATTTGAGGTTTTTAGATCTGGATCCAAACACGGAATAATTAGTTTTTTCAAAGCGAAATAATTAGTTTTTTCAAAGCAGAATAATTATAATTAAAATAAAGGCATTTAAATTTCAATATATCTACTTTTATATTATGTTTTAAAATGTATATAAGTAGTTCATGATATAGTTATAAGACTATCTTAAAATATTACAAAAAAACTGAAGTTTGTATAGTATGTTAGAGAAATATCCATATATATATATATATAGAATGTTAGAGTAATATCCAAAATATTATTACAAATATATTCTAATTTTTGAAATAAAAATAAGAATTTTTTAGTCAAAACTAAATCATAATATCTGAAAAGAGTACGTAAATCAACACTTAAAAGTACCACTTTTACTGGAATTTTTTTTCCATGGATCTCTTATAATTTATCTGAATTATGTAAGTTGAGAATTTTGAAATGAAAAAATTCGCTTGGTAGAGTTTATGAATCTTCAGCGAATAAATGGGACCTGCACTTTCTTAATGGGCCTCCTGATCTCGGCCACACCGATATTTTTACGAATTTTGTTTGGTGTACGTGCTTTTCTGCTAGTGCGTATTCAAGGCTCTCAATTATGGATTTTGTGAAAGCTTAGAGCACCATTAACCCTAGCATCTTTAATGTCTTAATCACTTTTTTAATATTAAATTTATGGTAAGAATTTTCTTAAGAAACCTTTGTATTTTTATCATCCAATGCAAATATCTTATTTAGGGTTTTCTTAAAAAAAAAAAAAAAATTCTATATCTTTTACTTGCAACTAAAATTGAATAGTAGATTCATCGGTTTTACAACAAAATACGAATACCAAGTGATTCGAAAAAAAAAACTAAACATTCTATATCAAGTAAAGAGCTGATTGTAAAAGAACACATACATTTTATAGTAAACCATGAGAATCTAAAACCTTACTGCAAATATGTTACAATTTCATGTGATTGACAATCAAAACATTACTCGTCCAAATGGATTAGAAGTTTCAAGTTTATAATATACCTGAGACCACAATGACCAGAGGCCAGTTCTCAGCATTGAGAGACGGCTTTGCATTAGAGGATAGACGACCGTAGCCGTTAGTCCAACCAACCGTGGCACTTATTCATATGTAGGTATCCCTTCCCACTGCAATGTAGCAGTCATCAATGTTCCAACTGTATTAAGGCAGTCAAGAGATTCAGTAAACCATTGAACCTGGTTCAAAATTCGAGATATCTAAAGCATATACACATTCCAACTTGAAACTATACGGCAGCACTGATACAAAGAATACAAAAAACTAGAAGCTATTAATCCAACAGGATCATTTAAAGGTCTCCTCCCGATTTTTTTTTTGATCTTTGATATTATGTGGTTTGCTAGTTTATATCAAAAGCTATAATTCATGAAAAATTTCATGACAAAGTTCAAACAACAACAACTAACAAACAGACAACAAAATGAGACGCCGCTTACAATTCAAAGGGTACAATCCAGAGCTTCCTCCAAACACCTTAGAGGTCAATTCCAAGCTAAGTTAAGCCGACCAGAGGTTAACAACCCACTGAAAAGCATAAAAACCGACAAAAGCTAGAAGGAACACTTACACCAGTTCGTTGTTGGTTTAAGCCACCACTAGTGGCAATTGCCAAGTACCGATCACTTCTAGCAATTGCTTTAGCATCTGCAGTAAGAAACTAATATTAAACCCATAAACTAATATTACTCACGCTCTAAGCTTAACTTAGTCCTAACTTCAGAAATATGTCTCTTTATCTAATTTCATATCTACAAACATGAAAGTAAAGAGCTTTACGCACTACGGAACTTGGTGCTTGCAATGCAGCAACCATAAAAGAACTCAGCATTCCATGAACGCCATCTATCACGATCTGATCTCCCTCCACTTGTCTGTTTCGGTCAAAACCACAAACACAAAACCCAAAACCCAAAACCCAAAAGAGCCCATTAAAGAAAAATCAAAACTTTGCAATAGAGGACATCAGAAACGAGTTTAAATCATGAGAAAGGGTCAGATCGCAAGGAAAGGAACCAACCCACTGAAAAGCACTTGATTCTTCGAGATCTACCTGAAAAAATCAAACCCAAAACAGAGAAATTTTCGATCAACTAAACAAAAAAAAGAAAAAAAAATTGATCGAATACAAAACTATCAAGAGGAGTAACCATTATCACAATCTCGTTGACACAATATAGATGTTGCCGATGCGAAATCGCATTTCGTCGATCAGAGGTTGAGAGAGAGAGAGAGAAATGCAAATTGATCATGTTTTGTCACTTCGCAACTAAGAGTCGGGCCTTCCAGGCTTGGCCTTAAGCAAGAGACGGGAATTTGTCTTTCTTCTTTTTATTTTATTTTATTTTATTTTAACCCTAAGAATCCAATTAAGAGACAGCGTTAAAGCTCCTCTTAGCTGATCACAAATTTTGTTCCATGTATGCTTATTTAACTCGTAATTGATTATGCACCTATACATCTTTATCCATTAATGGTCAACAACAAAGATATGGGTACACCTAAGAGAGAGAGACACACACATATATTGGTCAAAAACAGTCAACCAATTAGTGGATGAGCATAACCATATTATCTAGGCCCAGTCCATGTAGTCTATACGACGGTTTAAACTTAATTTTTTCATATTTGTACTGGCTTTGTACATTCCATTTATCTCTCATGTAATTCCCTATATAAGGGATCTTATGTTAAGAATAATATACACACCAATTCCTCAATTCTATCATTAGTTTACAACACGCTAACAACACGAGTTATTCACTAACCCAAAGCTAAAAACCCGACGAAGAAAAACCCTAGCTCAGCCGCCGGCGATCATCAACCTCCTCGGCTCTTCCTTTTCCGGTGGAAGTCCTAGACGCAGATTTCCTTTTTCCCGACCAGTCGCCTTTGGTTCTTCCTTTTTTCTCGGCCAAAGCCCTTGCCAGATTTCCTTTTGCTCAAGTAAATCCTCCATCAAATCCGACCAAGAACTCATCCGACGATCATTGTTCCAGAACCCGACCACACAAATCCGGACAATGAGAAGCTCCCAGCAAGCGATCCGACTAGTCTCAGCCGCGGTTTTCCTTCTCTCTCTAGGTGGTCCGGTTCAACCCTAAAAACTTAAGGTATAATCGATGAAACTCTAAAACCTAATGATCGAACCCTAAAACCCTAAATCCATTCTTATGGCATCCGATTGTATTGGTAAACCCTAAAATCTATCCCCGAAAACTTTAAACATAAAACCGCATGTATGTAACACATACTATGCAAGAATTCGATTCCCAAAAACTTATTTTGGTTGATTTATGGTTTGGTCAATCTTAGAACTCTAAACCCTAATTTTGGAATCGAAAACCCTAAACCCTAAAGTTGAATCCGACTTTGATGATTGTTCTTGTTTGAATAAATTGTTTGATGTTTTTAGGTTTAGGTTGTTAGATTGATTGTATGCCTAAACCTAATCTAATTTCGAATCTCAACCCATAAAAGGGCCTTGAAAACCCTAAAGCACAAATTACTAAATCTGATTGTTAATTATATTGTTTTGAGGTTTAAGAATCATTAGCTAAAGATTGAATAATTGTTAAATTGAAACCCTAATCTAAAACCATAAAATCCTATACGCATATTGATAAGTTGTTAATCTTTAATTTGTTAACCCTAAACCTAATCCGAATTGGTCACTGTTTTGTTTCTTAAAGTTCTTTGCTTGCATGATAGTAATACGCATTAATAAAGCCTAAACCTAATGTTGAATCCGCATTGTTTTAAAAGTTCTTGGCTGCATAATTGTTTTGAATGCGATGGATTGCATATATATATATATATATATATATCTCCATGGCTGTGTGGCCTTATACATATATAAATTAAATGCTAAGGTGTTTGCATTACATTCATACGACTTGTATGCATCATGAGCATATAGTAATCGTTTTATTAGGTTGATAGAACATCATATATGGCCGCATGTTTTGACTGATCCGTATAACTGGTTATAAAATAGCTGCATGATCCTTGCATATATATATTAGTACCCAATTGCTAGGATTGATGCATCATATCCATATTAAACATATAGACCGTATGTATTGTGATTGTTCATTAGGATTGCTTGCATCATACCACCTTAGCCGTGTGACTTATTTTTGATAAAGCATTCGTATGACTTGATTGTTTGCTTGGCCACATGAAAATTATTTTATGAAATCTAAAAATTAATTGATATACAATTTCAGATGTCAAAAATTTGCAATCTGGATTATGGTGTCCTAAATCTCTCTGGAGATAACTATTTGCAATGGGCACTAGATACTAAAAGGCATTGTATCATTGCCTAAAGGGCATGAATTATATTCACCCAACCCATTGAATTATAAAGATATAAGAATGGTTTCCATATAGAAACAATGGGCAAAGGAAATAAAACTTCCTTCAGGTTATAAAAAATCGCCGAAGGCCATAGAAAAGTGGTCAAGACTATACATGCATTCTCTACTGATTTTACTATGCAAAGATCAGTATGATTGAGGCAAAAGCCATGGTAACCAGAATGATTTACCTACGAGATTATTCACTTTATGGCATAAACCGGATTGGCCATCTTGGTTCAAAACATGATGCAAAGATTGATACTGAAAAGGGCACAAAGAGTTATCCCATAGAATCTCACGTGTGTAGCATGAACACAAGGGAAACTCCTTAGTCCATAATGTCCCAAGCATTTAAAGATTATAGTATGTCCATGAGGGGGCAGTGATGAAAAATCCGCACATGACTATACTATAAATAGCTTGGCTGAATCCTCTTGTAAATCTGTATTGGCCATTACCCATAGGGTCCAAACTCTCAGTCCAAGACTTGGGGACATACGAATTTCACATACATCTAAGCAATACGCATCAGGCCATGTAATGAGCATAGATATTTCTATCTCAAATTGATTACGGGTCATGAGCCAGATATATACCATCTTAAGATCAGATTTATTAAAACCACCACAGATATATGTGCCGTCTAAGATGGATCCTTAGAAAAGGATGAGGATGGGGATATATGTTGGATATGTTATCTCCCACGAATATTAATACCTAGAGCCGACTATGGGTGATTAGTTTGGGGCTAGGTACACCGATTGCATGTCTAATGAATCTGACTATCCATCATCATGGGGAGAAAATAATAAGCTCGTAAAATAATGATAAGAGAAATTGAATATAATAAACCATCATTGTCTTTGCAAGATCCTCGGACTAAGGAAAGTGAAATAAGACGTCCAAAGATAAATACAAAGATTATACATTTATAAAGCTAGCTAATCAAATGCCAGACACATTTGCTGACCCGAAAAGAAAAGAAAAGAAAGAAAAGAAAAGAAAAGAAAAGAATGACTAAGTCATACCAGCTTGCACCAACGAATTTGATGTCCTAAAGAGACACAGTCAAGTTGCTACAGAGTTTAGACAAGGTAGACCAATAATTTCCATGAGATAAGAATCCTTGGAAAGAAAAGAGAAAGGTGCATAGAATGATAACATATCCGAGGTCAAAGGAAACCAGACCAGACATGGAGATAAGGCTGGCCAGCTGAACATCGAAGGTACCAAACCATGTAGCTTGGGACGCCAAGCTGCTCGGTAATACAGATCCTAGATAATAATCTCAAATCGATTAGATCATGTCTGGAACACCATGGAACCACATAAGAGTTTCGACACATTGATGATAGATTCATTTAAAGAAGCACATAAAGGTAGAACTTGAACTTATAGATATAAAGCGAGGATCATGAACCCACATAATAGAGTACTCGAAGATCAGATTATATGGAAACGTGGGGTTAGAGTATCTAGAGAAAGAGAGGCGTATAGGCCATATATATATAGAGAGAGACACCATATAAAATAAACCAATGGATGTAAATGGGTCTTGTGAGGGAAAGAAAATCGTGAGATGTAGAACATGATCACGTGGTCTAAAGTTGTTCATGCATGTTTCTACTTACAGCATTCAAGCATGACTTGTTACACAAGGATTCTCACAGAGACCAGGAATAGACTATGAGGAGATATACTCCTATGTGGTGGATGCTATTACATATTTTGAATTGATAAGGTCTGGTCATCAGAAAGAAATTAGATTAACATATAAAGGATGTAGTAAGTTGTATATTGTCCACTAGATAATAATGATAAAGGTACAAGAAGGTATTAAGCTGAAAGATGAGATAAGAAATTCCCAAGAAACAGCATTGTATAAAGCTGAACTGTTTGTGGACTGAAACAAAGCAGCGGCATATATACTAAGTAAATACTCAATGAATGAGAGCTATGAGAATGATTTAAATCAGTCCATGTATCCATATAAAAGAAATCCTTGTGTTTATTTTATAACTAACCAGCCCAAAAGAAGGGCCATTTGGTCTGTTAATTTGTTTTCTAAAGAAGTTATGTATATGGTGGTATACGCATCATCGGGTGTGTGGTCGAGAGCATGGAACGGTCAATGGGATAACCAAACACATTCGTATGGATCATAAAGCATCCGTGAAGTATTTTAGGTCGAGGACCATATAAACATGTCCGACAAGAGCATAGAGTGGTCGAGAGCAAAAGAAGCACATCACTTCCATGTTTCAGTGATTTTCAAATCAGGGGGAGTAATACGTGTTGTACTCTTTCCTTATCCATGGTTTACCGGATTTATTCCCATTGGGTTTTTGGGTTTTTCCTGGAAATGTTTTAATGAGGCAACATCCAAACCGTATTACAAGCTCTATATGGTTATGACATCCAAGGGGGAGTGTTATGAACCAATTAGTGGATGAGATATAACCATATTATCAAGGCCCAATCTGTGTAGTCTATATGACAGTTTAGACTTAGTATTTTCCATATTTGTATTGACTTTTTACTTTTCATTTATCTCCTATGTAATTCCCTATATAAGGGATCCTATGTTAAGAGTAATATACACATCAATTCCTCTATTCTCTCATTAGTTCACAACATCATTACAAATTTACAACTTTTAAAAAACACTTAAAAAATCTGGATAATGAACTGCTTTGTTGTCTTTTATTCAGTTTCGTATCAAAGTTTTTTTTACTATTATTAAAAAGAAAATTCCCGAGTTCACAACTAAAGAACACAAATGATTATATTGCGTATAGATTTCAAAGATTGTATAAAGACTAACTCTATTTATTAATGCTTTAAATATCAAAGATTGTATAAAGACGAACTCTATTTATTAATATCTAAGAAACTCAGTAATTTAAGGTCAGTTTCTAA